AGTAGTGAAGGAGTCTTATATAGTAGTGGACGAGTGTTATATAGTAATGAACCAGTGTTATATAGTAATGAACGAGTGTTATATAGTAATGAGCGAGCGTTATTTTAGTGAACGAGTGTTATATAGTATTGGACGAGTGTTATATAGTAATGAGCGTATGTTATATAGTTGTGGACGAGTGTTATATAGTAGTGAACGAGTGTTATATAGTAGTGAAATAGTGTTATATAGTAATGAACGAGTGTTATATAGTAATGAACGAGTGATATATAGTAGTGGACGAGTGTTATATAGTAGTGAACGAGTGTTATATAGTAGTGGACGAGTGTTATATAGTAGTGGACGAGTATTATATAGTAGTGAACGAGTGTTATATAGTAATGAACGAGTGTTATATAGTAATGAACGATTGTTATATAGTAATGAGTGAGTGCTATATAGTAATGAGCGAGTGTTATATTGTAATGAACGAGTGTTATATAGTAGTGGACGAGTGTTATATAGTAGTGAACGAGTGTTATATAGTACTGAACGAGTGTTATATAGTAGTGAACGAGTGTTATATAGTAGTGAACGAGTGTTATATAGTAATGAACGAGTGTTATATAGTAATGAACGAGTGTTATATAGTAATGAGCGAGCGTTATATAGTAATGGACGAGTGTTATATAGTAATGAACGAGTGTTATATAGTAATGAGCGAGTGTTTTATAGTAGTGGACGAGTGTTATATAGTAGTGGACGAGTGTTATATAGTAATGAGTGAGTGTTATATAGTAATGAGCGAGTGTTTTATAGTAGTGGACGAGTGTAACATAGTAGTGGACGAGTGTTATATAGTAATGAGCGAGTGTTTTATAGTAGTGGACGAGTGTTATATAGTAGTGAACGAGTGTTATGTAGTAGTGAAGGAGTGTTATATAGTAGTGGATGAGTGTTATATAATAATGAACGAGTGTTATATAGTAATGAACGAGTGTTATATAGTAATGAGCGAGCGTTATTGTAATGAACGAGTGTTATATAGTATTGGACGAGTGTTATATAGTAATGAGCGTATGTTATATAGTAGTGGACGAGTGTTGTATAGTAGTGAACGAGTGTTATATAGTAGTGAACGAGTGTTATATAGTAGTGAACGAGTGTTATATAGTAATGAACGAGTGTTATATAGTAATGAACGAGTGTTATATAGTAGTGGACGAGTGTTATATAGTAGTGGACTAGTGTTATATAATAGTGGACGAGTATTATATAGTAGTGAACGAGTGTTATATAGTAATGAACGAGTGTTATATAGTAATGAACGAGTGTTATATAGTAATGAGGGAGTGTTATATTGTAATGAACGAGTGTTATATAGTAGTGGACGAGTGTTATATAGTAGTGAACGAGTGTTATATAGTAGTGAACGAGTGTTATATAGTAATGAGCGAGTGTTATATAGTAATGAAAGAGTGTTATATAGTAATGAAAGAGTGTTATATAGTTGTGGACGAGTGTTATATAGTAATGAGAGAGTGTTATATAGTAATGAGAGAGTGTTATATAGTAATGAGAGAGTGTTATATAGTAATGAAAGAGTGTTATATAGTAATGAACGAGTGTTATATAGTAGTGGACGAGTGTTATATAGTAGTGAAGGAGTGTTATATAGTAATGAACGAGTGTTATATAGTAGTGAAGGAGTGTTATATAGTAATGAACGAGTGTTATACAGTAGTGAAGGAGTGTTATATACTAGTGGACGAGTGTTATATATTAGTTGACGAGTGTTATATAGTAATGAACGAGTGTTATACAGCAGTGAAGGAGTGTTATATAGTAATGAACGAGTGTTATATAGTAATGGACGAGTGTTATATAGTAGTGAAGGAGTGTTATATAGTAGTGGACGAGTGTTATATAGTAATGAACGAGTGTTATTTAGTAATGAACGAGTGTTATATAGTAATGAGCGAGCGTTATTGTAATGAACGAGTGTTATATAGTATTGGACGAGTGTTATATAGTAATGAGCGTATGTTATATAGTAGTGGACGAGTGTTATATAGTAGTGAACGAGTGTTATATAGTAGTGAACGAGTGTTATATAGTAATGAGCGAGTGTTATATAGAAATGAAAGAGTGTTATATAGTAATGAAAGAGTGTTATATAGTTGTGGACGAGTGTTATATAGTAATGAGAGAGTGTTATATAGTAATGAAAGAGTGTTATATAGTAATGAACGAGTGTTATATAGTAGTGGACGAGTGTTATATGGTAGTGAAGTAGTGTTATATAGTAGTGGACGAGTGTTATATAGAAGTGAACGAGTGTTATATAGTAGTGAAGGAGTGTTATATAGTAATGAACGAGTGTTATATAGTAGTGAAGGAGTGTTATATAGTAATGAACGAGTGTTATACAGTTGTGAAGGAGTGTTATATAGTAGTGGACGAGTGTTATATATTAGTGGACGAGTGTTATATAGTAATGAACGAGTGTTATACAGTAGTGAAGGAGTATTATATAGTAATGCACGAGTGCTATATAGTAGTGGACGAGTGTTATATAGTAGTGAAGGAGTGTTATATAGTAGTGGACGAGTGTTATATAGTAGTGAACGAGTGTTATATAGTAGTGAAGGAGTGTTATATAGTAGTGGACGAGTGTTATATAGTAGTGAACGAGTGTTATATTGTAGTGAAGGAGTGTTATATAGTAATGAGCGAGTGTTATTGTAATGAACGAGTGTTATATAGTATTGGACGAGTATTATATAGTAATGAACGAGTGTTATATAGTAATGAGCGAGCGTTATTGTAATGAACGAGTGTTATATAGTAGTGAATGAGTGTTATATAGTAGTGGACGAGTGTTATATAGTAGTGGACGAGTGTTATATAGTAATGAACGAGTGTTATATAGTAATGAACGACAGTTATATAGTAATGAACGAGTGTTATATAGTAGTGAACGAGTGTTATATAGTAGTGAAGGAGTGTTATATAGTAGTGGACGAGTGTTATATAGTAGTGAATGAGTGTTATATGGTAGTGGACGAGTGTTATATAGTAGTGGACGAGTGTTATATAGTAGTGAACGAGTGTTATATAGTAGTGAATGAGTGTTATATGGTAGTGGACGAGTGTTATATAGTAGTGGACGAGTGTTATATAGTAGTGAATGAGTGTTATATAGTAGTGGACGAGTGTTATATAGTAGTGGACGAGTGTTATATAGTAGTGAATGAGTGTTATATAGTAGTGGACGAGTGTTATATAGTAGTGGACGAGTGTTATATAGTAGTGAATGAGTGTTATATAGTAGTGGACGAGTGTTATATAGTAGTGGACGAGTGTTATATAGTAGTGAATGAGTGTTATATAGTAGTGGACGAGTGTTAAAAAGTATTGAACGTGTATTATAATTTTAATTACGGGTGATATATGACCGAGAGAAGCGAATTATGTTACATAAGTTAGATATACGACTTGATTATTAAAAGTAATATGAAAATCAATAAAACTAATCATATTTCGTAAGTCTATTTAAGATTATTAATTACTTTTTCATCTAATTATTAGAATATTTCATAAACTTTTATACAAAAACGAATATTAGATAAATGAGACCACTAAGGGATTAAAATTGATAAAAAATTAAAATGAATGAAAATAGACAATTACTCTGAATAAAAAAAAACGTTATGAATTAGAGAGAAAAATAATTGTAATGAAAGAAAGATTTAAATGAATAATCGACTGAAGGAATCTTAAAAAAGATATATTAAAAAGTGTAGATAAAGAAATTTGAGAATAGTGAATCAGGAGTGCGATTTTTTTTGTAAAAGAGGATTACTTAGAAAGGGTTGATGGAAAAAAAAGAGGATGATGAAATAAAGGTTGGAAATGTATTTTGTCCAAGTAGAATATCCCGCTGATCGCTAGCACATCAGCTAATACCCTTGACTGAGGTCCCCACGTTGCCAAAGCGTATAGGGATGACAGCTCGTCAGGTTTTGATCAGGGAGGGGGCGACCTCTACGTGGTTCCATTCCTCACTGGCCATCAGCGTCCTAACACTGACGGGGAACCACGAAGGGCGGCAGAGCACACCGAGATGCCATTTCATGAGGAACCCTGGCCAAGGACCTCCTAGCAACCAGGGCTAGAGCATCTCCGTAGAGTCCCGGTGTGATGCCCCCCCACGAACTAAACGTTAAGAGTACCAGTACCTTGGTTACCTTGGTGGTGGTGGCATTTCTAACGATGAGCAGCCGACGATGAATATATTATATAAACATACAAAAAATGCTAACACACACACACGCAACCCAGGACTCGATAGTAACCATGAACAAATCAACTTTAAGAAGAAAGACAAACTTACAGATGTTTAATATGGCCAAGTGATCTTTCAAATATTACCTATAAAATATTTCCCAACAAAATGATTCTTACGTAAATTAGGTACACAAAAAAGTACTTATTTAGGTTAAGCCAATCACTATTCTGTAAACACTTTCTACCAGTAACATTACAGCATCAGTAATATATAAAAAGTTAAAATAATTCGTATTTTTCCAATGAAGTAATTATTTCTGACAGCTTATCATTCGTTGGTAGCCCTGGAGTTTTGCTAATATAACCTTTATTCACCAGAAAATAAGGGTTATATAGTTATCTTCTGGGGCTACTAACGAGTGAACCACCTCGTATAATCATTAATATCGAGCCCTGTGTTTCTCTACTACAGTATTGACATATATTAATACATACAATATTATAAAGTGGTTTGCTGTGGCTGGGCATTGTTAAAGCCAGATCGTTGTCTGGGTGGAGGAGGAAAAAACTTGCCTATTGGTCGGCTGTCGGTAGTGTCTCTCTATTGGTCCACTGTCGGTATTGTCTGTCTATTGGTCGACTGTCAGTAGTGTCTGTCTATTGGTCGACTGTCAGTGGCGACAGTCTGTCTATTGGTCGACCAGGAAATAAAAGCAAGTGTATTCACAGACCTGCACTACACTCCACGCAAGGTGACATGTCGTAATAGGTCGATCCGTCACTGTACAGGTAAGGGCGTACGTCGGTCTGCCTTACCTGCGGCGGCTGGCACTCACACCTGTAAGAAAAGATAATCAGAATTAATCAATGCGTCATTTACTGCACAAATAAAAACAATTAATTAGGAAATTATTCAAATACAATGATTTTAAGTAAAACATTGGTTGAAAATACACCGAACCCTCACCACCACACCACCTCCACTCCTTCCCTCGGTAATCATCCAGACAGCCCCAGTAATTTCAACTTGACATTAAACTATTAAATGCTGCGAAATGTCCATTCATTTCTTACAACTGATAACAAATGCCACTATAAAATGCCTCAGAAAATACCAAAAGTCAAATCTAACACGACTGCACTGTTGGAAGCTTCTGTTAAATGAAGTCATTCGCTATGAACAGGGAAACAATGTTAAATAATAAAAATATTCACCTATGTTTACCTAAATAATGCCTAATATCTGGTATATACAGTACAGTGCAGACAAGCTCAGACATCTCCGTTGTCTTATCATAAATACTTATATACCAAGTCGGCCAGACAATTTTCTTTGAATGACGAAGTTAATTTTAGGGGGAAACTATATTACTGTCAGCTACCATAACGTAAGACCATTATTTATTTCATTGACTAACTTAGAATTAATAAGACATTTTCTTTAATCAGCCAACATTAGTCTTTGGGACACGATGGCATAACCTGTGACGGTTTCAACACATTGTCTTTGGTTGATGAGATTAATTCCAAAAGGGATCATCAGTATCTAACCCGAGTCTTTCTGCCCATTTTCTTTAAATATTCACGTGGAGACTATGACTAAATCCAACCAATGATTTCTCAAACTATAACATTACTACGACCACAATGGACATACGCCAGAGTACTGTTATATGTACTACAGTATATGGTACAGTACATTGTTATACATTATGATATGTTTATGATATTTTAACCCATATTATTGTATTAGAAGAGTAATGAATTCCCAATACCATAAACTTGTCTGTCTAGGAATGACTTAAGTGGATGATATTTGTTTATTTGAAACCATTAATCTTATCTGGTGGTTCAGAATCAATAACTTTTATCTGGTGGTTAATATTTACAGTATGCAGAGAACGTACCAATCCTTGACTATTTATCGGGGAAGAGTCTCCTATACCCCTTACAACACCGACAATACCATCCCTTACAACACCGACAATACCATCCCTTACAACACCGACAATACTCCTCCTTGCAACACCGACAATACCTTCCCTTCTTTTACCAATAATACCCTTCCTCCTAGGCTCGCTAACAAACTTAAATTTCACACACACAAACACACACATTACTCCACTTCACCAAAATCATTTCACACCATTTTTTTGTCTCGCGGAATGCAATATTTTTCCTTATTTTTATTTTAATTCCTCACTCTACTTGTAAGAGGTCAGTCGCCATAAAACCTACAATAACAAGAGTTTCCCCGCGGCGACAGTGAAGCCTTACATGGAACTCGTGAACACCTACACCTGAACGGAACATCGACTCGACAACTGCGAGAACTACAATGCAAATGGCTGCCGTAATAGTTCAAAACTTTTACTCTCTTTACCGTGATAATATCCTCCCTCTTGTGTTTTGTGCGCTAATAATCTCTCTAATTCCTTCTCTCCATCGCCCTCTACCTCCTGTTATCCGTAGCCCGTAATACTCGCCAACATAACCCGTAGCTGCCCACCACCATACACGTCTAATAAATCATCCCGTCATTAGTTCTCCAGTCTTTACTAATAAATCGCTTACCGTATTCTCCGCCTGATGTGTTGCGCCATCCGAGCGATGCTTCACTCCCGCCATGGTTCGTCTTGACGTATACACGCACAATTTACACAAATAATGTCTTATAAGGTCGGGATGGTGGCGAGAATGGAGAGCACCACGAAAGCCACCTACACACTGCACTGCTGGACAGGGCCGGATTCAGGAGTGGGCAAAGTGGACAGCTGCCCAGGGGCCTCCACAATCTGGGACCTCTACATATTACAATATTTTATTTATTTGTTTATTCATTTGGATTATTTTTATTTTCATTCTTTAAAATTCATGTTTATCTATTCCATCACGTCTCCAGTCATGTCTCACTTTTGTGTGTGTGTTGGGAATATGTACACTATCACAAATATACAGTTAATTAGAAATTTCTCAGTGTTCTAATTTCCTCAATATAACTGCATATGGCTTCAAAATTCTCCAAAGAAGTGTTCAAATTTCAAAAATTTTCCGGGGGGCTTACAGCACCCCCCGGAACTCCCAGATGTTTAGGCTCGCTTCACTCGCCACCCCACCCTCTTGGGTAGTTATAATGAGGGGGGGCCTCCACAAAGAGGCTGCCCATGGGCCTCCACAAAGAGGCTGCCCATGGGCCTCCACAGGTCTAAATCCGGCACTGCTGCTGGAAACTAAATGACCAGTTGAGCAATAATTATGATCCAAGTTCATAACGCGTAAGTCGATCCAGACCGAAACAGCTTCAAACCAACCGAGTCACAAAGTTTGAACCAACGACTCAAGGGAGGAGGGAAGGAGACGCGGAGGACCGCAGGCGACAGAAATATGTGTTATTTTAAAACATTGGCTTATCATTATGTACTAAATTATTAACTGTGAGGCCATATTATGTATCGTTGAGGTTAGCAGCTTAATAGACAACGAGTCGGTAATTAGTGGGTATATTTGTTATGGCGCCCAAAAACATGAAAACAAATAGTATATAATAAACGGTAAAGTTCTGTAGAAGTTTTCAAGCAAAATGATTCAGAGATCTGGACGTCTCCGAAATACTGAAAATGGCGATAAAATCCTTAAGGTGTACACAGATTATGCTGTGAAATTAGTATTGATATGATGTATAATGTTAAATATAAACCTATAATGCAAAAGACCCAGGAAAATATAATAACACAATATTTTATGATGCAGGAGAAGAATATTGCGTCACGAAGCCATATTGACGCTTCTGGACTCAAGAGTATCAACATCAGGACCCTGGTGGCGACATCTTCCGGGAGAAAAAGTTACTAATTTGATCTCACCACAATGATCCTTCCACGGTAATTATTATCATTATCAACCCTGGTGCTTTAACCTGAGTTAATTAAGACTGACCAAGATAAGTAGATACAAAAAGGTAACTTATTAAACTAAGAACCATAACAGGTCTTGGTCTACCTGAACTACTCCAAGGTAATAACCGCTCGTCCAAATAATTGTTAAAGTCTTGCCTCTCACTACCTACCCACACACCCTACCTACCCACACATACCACCTATCCACACACCACACCTACCCACACAGGAGAGCAGGCTAGGGTTGGGGAAGGAGTGGAAGGCAATGGAATGTTGAACTCTAGACAGCCAGACATGAAGTATTGGAAATGATAGTAGTAAAATTTCCTACATAAAAGACAGAGATGGACAACACGACCCTAAATGATACTACATTTCAGTGTTAGAGTCGTATTATTGACGACCCTATGAGACTCTCTACCCAGAATCATACGGAATTATACTCGACGCAACAATAAAACTTCATAGTCTCCCATCGAGTATTACAGAAAACGAATGTCAATAAGGTTCAACACCTGTTTATACTGTACACTCTCTTTGACCTTGTTGCCTTAGTCACACCTGATACGACCGGCTCTCACACAGGTGTTTCCTAACGCTGGTTGGGTCTGGTTTGGTCTAGATTAATATCAGCCTTACACCTGACGCCAGACACAGGGTGGATGGAGGAGGAACGAAGCCACGGGGGAACAAGTTAACTCGTCTCTTACCGTGGCAACGAATATGATACGTAGTTACACTGCATAGAGACAATCAGGTGACGAAAACAGACAGTAAATAGATAAACAGGTGAAGAAAATAGACAGGTAAAGGAGAGACAGTAAATAGATAAACAGGCGAAGAAAACAGACAGGTGACAGAGAAACATTACAAACAGAAAAAAGAAACAGACAGACAGGTAACGGGTATTCAAAGAGACAGAGAGAAATAGTTAAACAAGGATTACAAACTAACTAATTTAGAGACAGACACACACAGTCAAATACGAGAGTCAGACATAAAGACACAGACGCACATACACACACACACACACACACACACGCACACACACACACACACGCACCTGAAACCCCGGAAACTGCAATATCATGGAAATATATCACTTAGCTGTGTTCATGCAGATAAAACTAGCGCTGTTGTGTTGCGCGATACAGCTGTGTGGATGAATCATGTCTGCCACCGCCTTCATCACTTGCTACCTCCCGGCCAAACAAACTGTTAACCACTCAGTGTGTGTGTGTGTGTGTAAGGCAGCCATGTGCTCTTCCCTCCACTTAGTCTAGTGATCATTGATGTCTTGCGTTGTGTTTAGGTAAGTGGATAAGTGTTTTCTATCGTCTGTTGTAAAGTATAAAGTGTTATTGTAATCAGACATCTCTCTCTCTCTCTCTCTCTCTCTCTCTCTCTCTCTCTCTCTCTCTCTCTCTCTTCAGAAGTGATATTCAAACTAGTCTTCTCATTGTTCCACTGTCATAAGTGTAAAATAATCAAAACCGCAGAGCCAAGCTGAACAAATACTGTATATACAAAATAGTGATAGTTAAATGATGTTAGTCATGATTATATTTCTTATCTATGTTTCAGGAGTCTCCCGTCCAAGAAACCAAGAGACACGGGTACATTTTCTCAGATGGTCAAACGCGGCTGGCTCATTCCTCGACGTAAACACAAATAAGTAGTTCAATCTCAGCAATCTCTTGTAAATATTAATATAGCTGTGATTTCTAGGCTCTTACAAGCTCTAGAACAACAGACAACACTGGCGCTAGATTTATTTTCGGAAGTCATCTGTAAACTATGTAATCATTCGTAAGACATCAGCAGCAACTGAAGTGAAGAAGCTAAGGTGTTTGTGTGAAGACCACTGTGTTCTGGTAGACATTAACCAGCTGTGGACATACTCGCAATAAAAGGAAAACTACATATGTTGTTAATAAGATATATGCTTAAATTTACTATAGTATATGTGATTTGCTTATAAATTCATCACCATGGCACCGAGTGTGAACGATGGACGTTTTATATCACAGATCAAATTGGCTGAAAATGGTGGCAACAGCACAAATAGGATGCCCGGTGTTGTTGTTACGTGTACGAGTAAGACAACAAACGATGGATCCTCTCCCGTAAGCGGTGAACCTAAGAGGAAGTTTAAGTGTGAACTGTGTGGTAGAATTTTCCTCAAACGATGGCACCTGATCTACCACATCAGGATGCACACAGGGGAGAAGCCTCACCAGTGTGATAGGTGCGACAGGGCGTTTAGGCAGAAGGGGGACCTGAACCGACATTTGACGGTTCATACAGGTGTCAAGCCCTATAAATGCCATGACTGTGGTAAGGCCTTCAACCATAAGAGTAATCTGGTCCAGCACACCAGACGACACACCGGGGAGAGGCCTTACCAGTGTCGTGAGTGTAAGAAATCCTTCTCCAGAAAGAGTGTTTTGATACAACACATTTTCTCACACACCGGAGACAAACCCTTTCGCTGCGACCACTGCCAGAAGATATTCTCCAGTAAAGGCGCCTTAAGAAAACATGCTTGGCAACATAATGGAGGATGGCCGTACACGTGTGGCAAGTGCAACAAAGGGTTTTCCGACAGGACGCATCTGACGACCCATATGAGGATTCACAGTGGTGAGAAGCCCTATGAGTGTGAGAGCTGCGGCAAGACCTTCTCAGATAAGAGCAACTTAGGTCGCCATGTTAAGATCCACTCATGTAATCCAAACAACACTTGTAAACAACGTAAAACATTTTTCAATGGGAGGAAGAGTAAGGATTCAGACGACCCTCAAACGTTAACTATTCATCATAAGTGCAGAGACCATTTCTTTGAAACTATGACGACCCAAAAACACGACTTTACCAGATATGTGTGTGACGTCTGCAAGAAAGAGTTCGCCCTGAAAAGTAACCTTGCCAAACACTTCGTTCTCCACACAGGTGAGAAGCCATACAAGTGTAATGAGTGTGGGAGAGATTTTGCTCATATGAGTAACATGACGAGACACCGCAAGACACACCTGGGCGAGAAGACCTTCAAGTGTAGGCACTGTTGTAAGAAGTTCACTCGTAGCAGCTCTCTGAAGAACCACCTGGAGACACATGTACAGCCGCATCATATTAACGAACTAAAGAACCTGGAGCCTAGAGGTACTGTACAACCCGGGAATAGACGTCATACTAGTTCTGATCATAGTACTAGTTCTGATACTAGTTCTGATCATAGTACTAGTTGTGATCATAGTACTAGTTCTGATCATAGTACTAGTTCTGATCATAGTACTAGTTCTGATCATAGTACTAGTTCTGATCATAGTACTAGTTGTGATCATAGTACTAGTTGTGATCATAGTACTAGTTCTGATCATAGTACTAGTTCTGATCATAGTACTAGTTCTGATCATAGTACAAGTTGTGATCATAGTACTAGTTGTGATCATAGTACTAGTTCTGATCATAGTACTAGTTGTGATCATAGTACTAGTTGTGATCATAGTACTAGTTGTGATCATAGTACTAGTTCTGATCATAGTACTAGTTCTGATCATAGTACTAGTTCTGATCATAGTACTAGTTCTGATCATAGTACTAGTTCTGATCATAGCACTAGTTCTGATCATAGTACTAGTTCTGATCATAGTACTAGTTCTGATCATAGTACTAGTTCTGATCATAGTACTAGTTCTGATCATAGTACAAGTTGTGATCATAGTACTAGTTGTGATCATAGTACTAGTTGTGATCATAGTACTAGTTGTGATCATAGTACTAGTTCTGATCATAGTACTAGTTGTGTATCCTCAGCAGGTAGTTTTGGTCTCAGAAGAGGAATAACAAACAGGACAATCACCCATCCTAGCTTCACGTCAACTCAGGTACAGGAATATTTAACGACACAGAAAGATGTTACAGGAATCCACAACCAGCAAGAACTACAGTGTGCTGGGAGGAGAATGAATCATCCCATGGTGACTATTCCCAGAGCAAATATTCTACAGCTTAAATCAGAGACACAAGATGGTTATCACGACACCTTGAGAAGTGAAACACAACTCCAGGGTCACTTTAACCTTCAGCAAAACATGGACCAGTTCTTGTTCACTACGTCAAGGACAAATATCATGCAAGTGAAATCAGAGAGAGAGGATAATTACAACAACGTAAGGAACACACAGCGGGGAGTGACTGCCTTAACACCTCAACTAACACCCACTGTGTCACACCACGCCACGTCGCCCTTCCATCCCTGGACAATAGACAATATGAGGAAACAATATCACAATCCTCTGGTGAATAACACTTTGGAAAATCACTGTCATAATC